TCAATTTGGCCAAGTTGAGTTGACTAGCGAATTAAAATATAAGCAAGAAGAATTAATATAACTAATTTAGGAGCTTCTTAATTTTAACGACACTAAGAAAAATCAAAATTATGAACATGATTTAAACCTAATTAATTTAAACGTATTTGCTAAAATTAAAGTCTTTTGAAATGATATGCGGATTTTCACAAAATATACTAATCATATAAAAATTATATTAGAAATATTTATCACTTGGAAACTTTATAAAATTACTTTTGAAATAGACATGTGACATATTTGAATTTCATAAACTTAGCCATCCTAATTTGTCTGAAAACTAAGAAGCTTAAAAATTAATTATTATCGGGGAGAGTCAAAATTGAGTGTCAACAAATTGGTCCACAAATGTCCCCATCTATACTTTCCAAGAACGCATGAGACTCAATTTTGACCTTTGTTGGTGATGGTATCACAATTAACTTGCCTAAGAACATGCATCACAAGAAAATTCATCATTTAAAAGATTTTCGAAATTCTTTAATGGATGTCCATTTGAATTTTCTATAATTCGTCTCATCATTATAGATCCAGGATGTCCCAGACGATCATACTATAGTACGAAGGTATTGGAATCAGTAAACCCCCGATTCACTATAGAACGTGCCTTAATTACACTAATTTTTGTCGAATACAATAATCCAGAAATAAGGCCATGAATTTTCTACAACATATGTCTGCCAGAAACATTTTTGGTTATACCAAGATATTCAAGATTCATTGCATCAATTGTTTTGATATGATGATCATTTTCACGAACATCTTTGAAACCCAATAAGTTTCTCCGAGACTGAAGAGAAAACTTGGCGTTATTTATTATGAGTTTAGTTCTCTTGGAAAAAATTATAATGTATCTTCCGAAGCCTTGATCAAATTAGTACTACCAGACATCGTAGTAACATTCATATTTTCCATACTCGATTGAGAAAAATATTTCTAACTTTTGAATATCGTATGTGTTGTACTAGAATCAATTAAGCAAATGTCATCATAATTTGATAATTTGATTGGAGAATTATCCATTACTTCAAATATAATGAATTAAGCTTATATTAAATCATTAATATTCTTCAATTAAATAATTTATAAAATATAGAAAATAATGAACGTGTTAAAATGACATTTGAATCAATATAATGATCATAGGCTAATAATGCACAAGGTTTTCTTCACTCAAACCTTTAATACTAATTTTTTTATTTAGTTTAGCATGTTTGAAATAAGTATTAATATAATTATTTAATTCTTGAAAGGACATTTGAGTGACAAAAGGAAAAGTTGTTTTCCACTTACCAATTTAGGTAGGTGTTTGAAAAAGAAGGGACTTAATGAATATGCATGGATAAATATGAACATTTTAACTATTTATTTTTCACATTATGACCAATACAAAACAACAAATATTAATAACGTTATTATTAGAAAATATCAACCATGATTAATTTTTCATATCCACAGAACCTCACTAATCAAGTGAACTATTTTTCCTTCAAGGTGTGTAAAGAAATCTGCTACACCCAAGTGTGTGATTTCAACATAATTAGTGATAAAATTAGCTTCAGGATTTTTATCCTTCTTTCTTAGTAATGCTTAATAAAGTTCAAGTGCTTCGGAGTACGACAATCACGTGCATAGTGACCCCTTCCACCACATCAAAAATAATTTGTTTTAACTATTTCACGTTTCTCATGTTTTCCTTTTCCCCTTTGATAGTGATTTTTCTTTGGTGAATGATTAACACCGGAAAAAAGATTTCGCTCTTGGTCATAATTATGATCACGCCCACGTCCACGAGCTCTTCCACACCTAGCGTGGTGGGCGTACACCTCATTCACTTCAGGAAATGATGTAGATCCAGTGGGATGATTTTCATGATTTTTCATTAACAAATCATTATTTTGTTCAACCACGAGAAGATGAGAAATCAATTCAAAATACTTTTTGAAACCCTTTTCTCGATATTGTTGCTGTAAAAGCACATTTATAGGTATGAAATGTGGAGAACATTTTCTTCCATCATATCAACATCACTAATTGTATCTCCATATAGTTTCAATTGAGAAGTAATTCTGAGCATGACAGAATTGTACTCATCAATAGACTTAAAGTCTTGTAGCCTTAAATGCATCTAATCATATCGTTTCTTTGGATGAATGACCATATTCAAATGCTCATATCTTTCTTTTAGATTATTCCATAAAACGAGTTGATCCTTGACTGTGAGATATTCAATTTTAAAAATTTCGTCAATATGATGACGTAAGAATATCATTTCTTTAGCACAGTCTTATTTTTGATGCTTTATTTTCAATTTTAATAGTGTCCCCATGATCCATTACATCCAAAGGATTTCAGCATCCAGTACCCCTAAAAGGTAGTTCTTGCCCGAACTATGAAGGGCAACAAACTCAAGTTTAGTAAGATTAGCCATAATAAAAAGAAGAAAAATAATAATACCTTAACCTTCAAATTTAGTCTTCAAACTTTGAGATGATAGAGTCTCGTGATGATAACATGCTATAAAATAAAGACTAAATGCTAAAATCAACCTAATAACAACCAAGAAGAGAAGATAAAATAAAAAACCTTTATCTTCCTTATTTTTGTATGTTTTTCCATATAAGTTACAATGTCTTTTATAGACATAAGAGAGGTACAATGGACATTCATTAATTTTGTTTACAACAAATTTTTTATTTAAAAACCTTAAAGATCAAGGATACTAAATAAACAAGTTATAAACTTAGAGCCTCATATGACTATATACTATATTGGATACAAACATATATTTCTAAGACTAAAGTCTCTCTTCTACCTAAACATTTTGCCACAACCTACTACCTCACATAGGGAGCACATATACTTTCTAATTGCATTACAACACACGTTGAAAGCCTATCAACTTAAACTTCTTCATATGTTAACTTCCATTCACCACCTCGACTTTATCTATACTAACGCGACGATGTACTCTTAATTCACCTTAACTAATAACTCTTTCTATGATACTATCATGAAATCTACACACACTCGTTGAGCCTTACCAGGTGCATGACTGTAACTACATACTTTACTCAATCATTATACCCACCTTTTTACGTTACTACACTTTTAAATTCACACTTCTATCTCTGGAAAACTCGACTACTTATGACTTATAACGCTGTAAATCACACTCTCTTTCGGGTGAAAACACTAACCAAGCATTTTAATCACACTCTCCCTCAGAAGTATCATTTATTGTGTGAGGTTCCAAAGGGGCATGAGAGCATATCATACTTTGGCTCAATGCACAATTTATGTGAACAAGAATAGGGATGCATCTTTTCGAATTGAATAAGGTTAAATGCACTTATGGGCTCCTCTCAGGCCCTTGCGCTATCTCTTAACATTTATGTTGGCTCTATTCAAGGGAACCATAGTGAGAGGAATATGGAATTTACTGTTTCTACCACCTCAAATATGAGGCATGGTCGGAGGATTTGGAGCAACACACGAATCTACATAAGTTTTTTAAGAGACCGTTTCACGATCTATAGTATGAAAGAAAGAAAATCTTTTCTTAAATGCATGTAGTCCCTTATTTTTAGTAGGGCACAGACAACCATAAATCAGATCCTACTGACATGATTTTATACTCCGTAGGACACTTGAGCTCTAGGCTCTAATATCTAATTTGTCACGCCCGATCCTACATCATAGGTGTGGCCGGCACTTGGAATCACTAATGGTTCAAACGAACCCTTGTCCTGGCTTCTACTATTTTAAATGTATAACAACTGTGCAAATTTTTAAAATATAAGTATGCAATAACTTTAGGAAACAACTTAGTAACTTTATAAATAAAAGTCTTGATAATAAAGATGTTTGTAAAACAACTAAAACCATAACTCAACCAACTCACCTATGAAGCTTCTAATGTACTGAAGGAAAGTTACTGAACAAGAACCCTAACTACCTGAATATTCTACTAGCAAGAAATAACGACTACTAAGTTCTCTAGATGAACTACAGTCCTCCAAAAGAGTGGAGTCCTCCGCATCAATGTTGGATGGAAGGTGAATACTAATGACGCGTCTACTGTCTATCCCTACATTTTTTGGGGAATATGCATCAAAGTTGTAGCACAGGTTCCCTACATTTCATCCTTCAGGTCAAGCATCATCTTCAACTGGGTGTAATGATACAAGTCTAAGCAATGTAAAAAAGTAGACTAGCTGGGTTGGAAAGTTAGATAGGTGACATGATACATTAGTTAGAAATATTACAAGTTGTTAGACTGCAAACATTAGATTTCCAAACTTCAATTACTAGTTTTCATTTTTATAAATGTAGCCATTACATGCAATTGGATTCATTCATGAACTACTACCTAATTCTCTCTCTTCTACATTCAATCTAGCCTCGATTCTCAATGATAACCCTGATTTTGGCTATCATTTTCTTCGAGTTCATCTCCTAGATTAGCCAATTCCATTACAGATTGCTTAATTGCATCAGAGTATCTGTATAATGTTTTATTGGTCTATAATACTACAAAACTCAGCCATCAAGAGGAGGTGACAAACTGTTAGTGAACATGATAGAGACTTCGATTACTTTAAGTTTACGAAGTGTTTATTCTTTTAACAAACGCCACTCTATCTGATACATTAGAAAAAGAGAAGGTGCAAAGATGCTTTCTACAGCCATTCCTGCTGTAAGTTGATTTTCATGTTCAGACCTGTTGTAATGACCCAATCACCTATACACATTTGGACATAATCAAATACAATATAACTGACTGAAACAAAAAAACAAGGAAAATGGGTATGCACAAAGCTGACACATATACCATTTAACCCCAAAAAAAAAAATGAAGAAGGAAGATAACATATACCGATTACAGATACAATGATACAAAGAGTATTTTCCCTCAAGAGATCAGTCCTATATGTGCTGATGGCAGAATAAATGAAAGATCATCTTGGCCCTGACAACTCATCCGGTCGGATATTTGACGTGGAGTCAGCTATTATCCAATCAGTATGGGGGTGGTGTACATGGTTGTAATCTTGCCGGAACATCTCCTCCTTTTGCCATTCCTCCCACCTCTCAGCAAGGCCATCACCTTCAAGCATTCTTACAACTTCTGACATCTTTGGACGTTCCGTAGGCGTACTCTGCGTGCAAAGTAGAGCTACCTGAATAAGTTGTTCCACCTCTTCTTCATTGTAATTACCTTGAAGATCTGCATCAACTAATGTTTCATATTTCTTGTCCTTCAGGAGTCCCTTCACCTGAATATCCAATGGAATGTTATAAGTCAAATAATAGCCGTGCATGCAACCATATGTGCCATCTCTAAGAGCACAGTCACTAAAAAAGCTAGTAAGGTCTGAAGGGAGACTAAGGAAACAGCATATCAGTGCATGAGGCTCAAACACAGCCAAGTGCTTCTGATTGACATTAGTAGCATTGCTGCCTATTAGTGTTCATGTTGCTATTACAGTTTTTGTATCCATCAGAGACACAAGAGGTTCGGAAAAGCTTTTATTTTTAATAGTCACGTCTTAACAGTTTGACCATCTACTTTTCCTTCTCCAGGATGGCAATCCCACATAAGACCCTTTCTCAAGGATGCTCCTGAATGAGAACCTGTCCTAAAGTATAATTTTAACTATATCTACCCCCGAATACAACATGACTGAAGCGACATTAATATGTAAATCTCCACTTCTCAAAAAAAAGCACATTTTTCTAATCTTCAGATAGCATCAGAAATGAGAAGTGGAGATGCACATTTTCTAGGTTAGTCACAAATTGAGGGGACGAATTTGGCAACCTAACTGTTGAAGCACCTGCAAGAATAAGCTAACAAAAGTAATCCACTCTAACCTAAATGCTCGTGCAATTTTAGCAATGAATGGTTAAATCCTCCTGAAACATCTAAACCTTTAAAAAGAAATCACTCACAGGGAACTGCAATGAATGTTAATCTCACACCACAAAACCACAATAGGTAATAAGCTACAATGCAGGTCTCGTACCACACATTTCTTCGGCATGAGCAAATCAGTGTTCAACAACTAACACTAAAGTAGAAAAAGACATCAAACTTCGACTTATAGAAAAGAAGAGAGTCAACTTGATCTTTTCAGAACATTCCAAGACTGTTCATTGATAGCAGAAGTGACTTGATCTTTAAACAAAATCCAAATTGCTGAATGATAGCAGAAGCAAAATAACTTAAGCATACAGGCATTTGCTTACCCAATCTAGCAGCATGACATCATCATCATTCGCAAGTCGAGCAAGATCAAAAGCCCTTTGCCCAGTTATGAGCTCTAGAAGCATAACCCCATAGCCAAAGACATCAGTTTTCTCAGAAGATTTACCAGTAGATAAATATTCAGGGGCAATATGCCCAATTGTACCACGTACAGCAGTGGTAACATGAGTATCCTTGTAGTCCATGAGTTTAGCTAACCCAAAATCCCCAACAACTGCTTCAAACTCCTCATCCAACAAGATATTTGCGGCTTTGACGTCACGATGAATAATTTTAGGATCACAATGATCATGCAAGTAAGCAAGGCCTCTTGCAGATCCAAGTGCAATACGCTTCCTTTTTGGCCAGTCAAGTGGGGGCTCTGATTCAGGCCTCTCTAGAAAATGTAAATTATACCATGAGCATAAATTCAAGCTATTCAGCAAACTGGAAACACTTTCCTATTTAAGCTGGAATAAGTTATAAAAAGAAAACTGATCTTTTTGGGTCAATATCACTCTAAATCATAAAACGCCAAGTCATGAGACATTACTTATCAAGTTTCATACAATGATAAAAATATGTACTCTTTTAAAACATTTAATTCCTTTTGACTTTCAGATGTGCTCATTAAATAAATTTTATCATGAACTGCAATATTCAGTAAGATATCAAGGATAGCATCACTTGTGAAATTGGTCCATAGAACACAAGCAAAATTATAAACAGCAGTGACATCTTGTTAAATATACATACCCATCATGAGAACTCGTAAAAAACTCAATCACTATTATAATTAATAGTACAATGAAATTGATGTGAAGATTCCACCACTGGCTTACACTTAATTTTTTCAAATTTGTTACAAATTTATGAAAGAAAAGTTAAAAGACTAAAGGCTTATCATTAACATTAGCTATTGGCATTTTTTCTGTGGTTAGACCAGCTATGTTACAAGGTCAGAGGTTGGCCAGTATTTAGAAGATGAAAGTGGCAGAGATGAGGATGTTGCGATGGATGTGTGGGTTTACTAGGAGAGATAGGATTAAGGATGAGGATATCCAAAACAAGGTGGAAGTGACATTGGTGGAAGACAAGATGCGGAAAGTGAGGTTGAGATTGTTTGGGCATGTGATGAAAAGATGCACTACTGTTGTTGAGCCTAATTTTTGTCTTGAGCCAAGAGTCTATTGAAAACAACCTCTTTACTTGACATATGAGGTAGAGGTAAGGTCAGCATATGCTCGACCCTCCCCAGACGCCACTTTGTGGGTATATTGTTGTTGTCGTTGTTGTTAGCCTGCCTAAAGGTGTCCAATAAGTAGAGGCAAGCACATGAAAATTAAAAAAGAGATACCTCTTAAACGTGATGCAACACTTCCATTCTCCATGTAAGGATAAACAAGCACGCGCTCAGTGGGTGTCATGCAAAAGCCCCGTAAACGAAGTAGGTTTCGGTGTACAGCCATGCTGATCATTTCTACTTCTGTCTGGAACTGTAACTCTCCACCTTGAGTACGTTCCTCTTTTAGTCTTTTCACTGCAACTAAAGAGCCATCAGCTAACCGGCCCTTATAAACCTTACCAAATCCACCTCTACCGAGTATATTTCTGTTGCTAAAATTATCCGACGCAACTTGTAGTTCACGCAAGGAAAACCTTTTGAGTTGTCCCAGATGAACTTCTGGATCCTCCTCAGCTGCAAAAGCAGTTATAATGAGTGAGAACACATCAAGTTGAAAGTACAATTAACTCAGATTCAATGTGTTTTGCCAAACCAGGAACATCAAAGAAGTGGTCTTGTGGTTTCCTCCGACGCCACCAAGCAAGAAAAATTGCAGGAGCTGCAAATAGAAGAGCAGCGCCTGCAGCAACTCCTCCAGCGATAGCTCCAGTTGCGCTGTTGCCCACTGAAAAGATGATTGAGTTAACTTTTTATTTGTATGACCTAAGTTTTACAACACAAGCAATTCTAAAAAATAAATGGTACTTTTGACACACTTATCACTCGAACTTCAAAGTTCACAGTAAATCTAATTTCCAACAAAGAAAAAGATGTTGATAGTATCTCCAAGCTTATTTAATTTTTTTATTTTGGGAAGTCATGAATGCTGGATAACCACAAGATCCCAATACCTGTATAATTGATCGCAAAAAAACTAATTTATAGTGCTAAAGTAATGGTAGTTTTTTTCATAAAGAAACTGCTTTCATAAGGGAATCCAGTCTGGGCTCAGCTTTTCAGCTTTCCCCAGGCAACCAGGCCTTTCCTTTCTTCCCATTGCCAGCTCCCCTTCTTGTGAATTACTTGAGGGATTTTCATGAAACTAAATTGGAATAGGGAAAAAGGAGAGGTAGCACAATTTCATAACAGCATAAACACAAATTATGTCAACAAACCTGAAGATGACGATGAGGGTGTAGGAGGAAGAGGAGGAGGTGGAGAAACTGGAGGAACTTCCAACTGATTATTAGCAAAACTGAAATATAGGTACTCAATCTTTAGATATTCACTTATAACTTCAGGAACAGAAAGGAACTACAAATTTATGCTTCTCACACACCTTATAGGAGTAAAAAGTGAAAAGGAACCGTTGACTGGAACTAGTCCTGTCAAATGGTTGTTTGAGAGATCACTGCATTGCAAGGCAATGGCAATAAGTAACCCACAAGAACAAGACAACCCAGACAACATACAGGATTGATAAATAAAGTAACAACTTTATACTTACAGTACTTGAAGTGCAACAATGGTGGTTAGAGACATGGGAATACCTTCATTCAAACTGTTATTATTGAGCCTCCTTCAATTCAGCAAAGAAAGAAAAGGATAAAAGGAAGGTTGATTAAGAGTAAGCAAGACTGGAAAAGAAGTTCGTCAAAGCGAATACCAATCTAGAGCTCATTGTTCAGTACATGTGCTAATATATATATATATATATATATATATATATATATATATATATATAAAGATTAATTCCAATATGCTAGGAAAAACTTGTTGATAGTGTTTGCAGGTTGAGAATCACCGTTCATACATAAGTATTTTAGCAATCAACTAAATCCACAGGCCATTTTTCCTAATAAGATGAGAAGTATCTCAGAATTGTCTCTTACTTGAGCTGCACGGCTGTGAATCTATATCGAGAGAGACGGAGCAAGCACAATTTTGTTAAACAGATAATAATTGAATACCTTTAGAATATATTTTTATACAAGTTGGTTCAAATTATTCTTAACATTTTATATTATTACTTATTTATCTTTGTTTGTCATACAAAAAAAGAGTCCAGTCCAATCACTTGGTCTTCACTCAGATACCATTCAGCATTTGGGAAACAAGAACAAGGTCTGCCAAGCATATCAACTAACTTTCCACTATAGAGCAAAGACAGAATGAATCATACAGATATATTCCCTGTTGACCTGTCAAACTACAAAGGTTTGTTCGCCGACAGAGTAGTGATTTTCATTATGCTTCCACACATCAATTTTTTTTGGACAGAACCCATCAATGTAAACATAATTAACCGATAAGTTACAGAACATTTTGCTTAGAGAATTAGAAACTATAGCCCCATTTGCATGATTAACATAGATGCTGCTTTCTTGATAAAAATAAACATAGAAGGTGCTCAATTTTTATTTAACTAAACTTCAGATATATATGGTAAAGATTTGAAACATTTAAAAAAAAAACGAAAAAGAAACAAAAACAGAAGAAAAAAACCGGAAGGAAAAAGAGTGTATAACTCGTACAGGAAGCGTAGCTTCTGAAGCCTGCCCAATGAGGGAGGAATAGGACCATTTAAGTTGTTCAGGTAAAGATCCAAACTAACCAACTCTGTCAAGTTTCCCAGTTCATTTGGAATTCTTCCGCTTATGTTATTACTATAAAGTTCCCTGAAATTAAAAAAAAGAGAGATACCATTAGCAAGTTGATCTGAGAATTTGCAGACCATGCCGCTTAAGATGAGACATGCCAACTAACATGCGCATAATTATGTTGCATTGAAGTGTAAATTACTTCTACAAGTTACACTCTTAGGTAAACATGAAAAAAAGAACAGATATACTAAAGGGTCATTTGGTAGGGGTATAATTAAGAATAGAACTGAATAGGGTGTATTAGTAATAATGAGATTAGTTATGCTTGTACTATTTATTGTCGCCTATTTGGTTTGTTGTATTATATGAATAGGGTGTATTAGAATACGAATAGTACTGGTATTGCTGATGTCATGATTTACTATGTATAAGAATAGTACTGAATTGGGTATCGTACATGTATTAGTATACATAGGTCTAAAACACTACAAAACAAGGGATTAAATAATACCAAAGCTGATACCAGTATTATTTTCTCTAATAACTCCTACCAAACGACCCCTAAAAGCAATAGGTAAGGTATAACTATAGTATAGACTAGTAACTAATGAAGTCCCCACCCAAACAGAGAGTATCATGATTTTAGCAAGCAAATAATCAGGTGGTAGTAATTAACACTTAGGTCAAGTGGCTAGTTAGAGATCTATGGATTTCAAGATTCAGGGTTCAATTTTCCTTTAAGGAGGTTTATGTTTTACCTCGTGTAGATAACTCTGGTCTCTATAATTGAATAATTGGTTCTATTGACTAAATTAAAATTTCATTGTCAATTTGTGCGAAAATAGTTCAAAAACACCATAAATCGCTTCTTAAAAAATAGAAGAAAAGAAGCTTGAGGGAACAAGGAACTAAGTTAACATACTTCATGTTGAGAAGATTTTATGTTCAGAGGATTCTACCACCACAAAAAACTACAACATCAATATAATGGAAGCAGGATAGGTTATTTGCACCAACTTCCACCAAAGGACTGGTCCAAAAGGGTAGCAATGAGAACATTACATAGGGCAGTAGAATGAGCAAATCAAATATCTGTTAACATCACTATATAAGGCATTAAAGAATAATATCATTAATTCTGAGCAAATGTACCCTCAATCTCATTAAAATGGAAATTATTCATCACCAAAACCATAGCCTATTGTGGGAGCTGCAGATAGATATAGATGATGGAGGATTGTCACAGCTTGTATTTGGTGGACTGTTTGGAAAGAAAGAAATGCTAAATGTTTTGAGAGCAACAGCTGTGATCTTCAAAAGATCAAACTAAATTGTCTCAGGCTTTTTTGCTTCTGGTGCAAACAGATGTATTTAGAGGACACCGAATCCATTATAGATATCCTAGGTTCTTAATAGGATTCAGATTCAGTTTTCTTACTTTTTTGACAAGCTGTAAATATGGTTTACAGTGCAATCCATGCACTGGGTCAATGAATATACACAAATGTTACCTTCTCAAAAAAAAAAAAACATAGCATAATGTTGCATAACTAAAATAGGATAAAGTAAAGAAATTTGACCAGCATTGTCATATAAAATTTAACTAGAAAAAAGTAAAATAGAATAATAGTTGTTAATGTCATAAAGTGGAGTCGCCTTCTGAAAATATCAAGCAATACTATTTTGTAGTAACTTTAATTCTTGAATACAAAAAAAGGTTTTTTATTTAGTCAACGATTAGGTAAATTGGGACTAGGAGGAGAATCACCAGCGAAACTGGTTTATTCTTTCATTTCCAATAACTAGTCAAATTAGCATCTTACCTTATCAAAAAAAAAAAAAAACTAATTTGCAATCAAAAGAATACCCAAGTACATGATCAGAAATGTGTTGGTTCCTGCTAGAAAAATTAAGCATGGATATTTTAAATTAGGGTGTGGACAGTGTTGTCAAAGGTGCACTTTAAGCACGCTTAAGCCCTGAAGCGAGGCTCAAAACGTGTTGAGCACTTCGTCTCGCTTTATGTGCACTTCAATGTCGTCATTAAGGTTCTAAGGCAAACTTTTTCCTTGCCAATGAGCCACTTCTAAAGAAGTGACACTAAACAATTGATATTTCACTTTATCATAATGTTTATTTTCAATTTCTTTGGTTGTGTACATGTATATAATTATTAGACTTGGACTAAACATATATATTTGATTTTTTTGTCGCTGTGCACTTTTTTTAATTAAACCCACGCTTTATTTGCGCTTTGCACTTAAAAATTTGCTCATGTATCAACTTGATGGGGCAGTACACTTCTAATATGTCAAGAAGCTACATGAGCAAATTTTTACGCGCACAAAATTGGCACAAAATTGACCAAAAAAAAGAAGGTAGTGTCAGCATCTATTCCCACTACAAAGTATAAAAAAATGCTACTCTTCACCTTACAGTTCTTCAACCAAAAGAATAAAAATTAAGGAACGGAGACAGACCTTGGAGTCCAGAAGGTTGAGGTTGAGTAATACCAAGACAATATTTGGAACGCAGGTTCAGTGACGTAGCACGCCCGATGCTGACGTGAAAGTGAGGCTTTATTCAAGGGTTATCTAAAGGAAATGGGGAAATAGGCGATGATGTCATATTTCGTATTGGTGCAGAGTGAATGAAATGGAGGCTCATATTTGGATTATTGCATGATAAGGAAGTGCCACCAAAAGTTGAAAAGGCAAATTTTACAGAGTGGTGGTTAAACCAACTATGTTGTATGGGAAAGAGAGTTGGCCAGTCAAGCACTCTCACATTAAGGAGATAAAAGTTGCAGAGATACGGATGCCGCAGTGGATGTGTGGGCTTATTAGGAGAGATAGGAATAGATATCGGGGACAAGGTAGGAGTGGCCTCGGAGGATTACAAGATGGGGGAAGCGAGGCTGAGGTGGTTTGGACATATGAAGAGGAGATGCATGAATGGCCCAGTACAGAGGTATGAGAGGTTGGCTATGGATGGTTCCAAGAGGGGTAGAGGTACCCGAAGAAACATTGAGGAGAGGTGATTAGATAGGACATGTCACAATTGCAGGTTACTAAGGAAATGACTTTAGATAGGAGGTTGTGGAGAACACAAATTAGGGAAGAAGGTTAGTAGGTAGTAGAGTTTTATCTTGCTAATCATTCCTTACTAGTAGTAGAAGTATTTCTCCTATATCTGCTTCTCCTAAAATTTTTGTTACTAGCTACTATCTAGTATTTCTCCTATAGCTGCTTCTCCTAAAAATTTTGTTACAAGCTACTATCTCTTACACTTCGATTAGTGCATTATTTTGTTGTAGCTACTGTTCTTTTTTCCAGAATGCTTGTAAGACCTATATTTCATGAAGATACTTGAACATTGCAGGGCTCCTATTATCCCCTCTAAAAAAAATTGAATTGGTATTATTACATTCTTTTATTACCAGTCCCGATTTAGTGTTTTCACACACCAATCATTATTTGACACGTGTTAATTTTATTTGAAGAAAACATTTTTTGTTTTAAGTTTTTCTTCATACTTTTTCTTTCTCTCTCTTACGCTTTTGACTTCTTTTTATCCTTTTTTACTTTTATTTTGACTTCACTTTAATTACATCACCTTAAAATCATAGCCCTTAATGCTTTTAGTAATTGTTTGGGGATATAAAAACGTATCGATACAACAAAAACATACGCAGTGTGATCCCACAAAGTGGTTCTAAGGAGGATAAAGTGTACCGACCTTACCCCTACCTTAGAGGTAGAGACGGTTTCTGATAGACCCTCAACTCAAGAAAAAAATAGTCCAAAGCAGTATAGAGAAAGAAATAACGGAAATGAAGAAGTTATAGAAAAATACTACTGACAACTGTAGTCATAACCAGATAAAACAATAACCAAAGTAAAAAATACAACAGATAATAACCAAACTCAAAGGACAATAATTACAAGAGTAATATTACGACTAATAATACGGCTAATAGTACAGAAGAATAAGTGAGACAACGATTAACTATCTTTAAGTAGACTTATTACTTCCTCAGAATGGCAATGTACAAAGATTCACTTTTTCTAATAGAGATATTGTTCAGGCCCACTAGTGTGTGCCTCGACTAACCTACCGAATACCTGCTATCTTCCACTACGCCACCAACTCTTAGGCAGATTGAAAGAATTCACCTACGGTTGCCTCTGCAAGGATTCAAACCTTGTGTCCAAGGTTGTTACTCAAACACTTGGACTGCTAGGCCACCCTTTGGGGGTTCTTCTGAAATTTAGTTGTCTAGGAGGATAATAAATTTGTAATACAAAACCATCCTGGGGACTCAAAACACTAGATACTTCCTTCTGTAGAAACAAATATATACAAGCTCATTTACATTTATGTTATGAATATTGATTAACACAATTATAAAGAAAATTAACTGATTTCAAGAAACATGGTCTGGAGCAAATCGAAATATCAAAGAACAGCCTTTATCATCCTTGAGACATATTGATTCGATTAACTTACAAGTACTGCAATTTCTGGAGTTGGCCAAGCTGTGGTACCAGTTGACCTGATAGATTTGCATTTCCTAGATCACTGTGTTAAAAAAGCAACCAAAATTCACAAATGAAACCACAATGTGAAAGGAAGAAAAAAATGATTTTGTGTAGCTTACACTCTAGTCACACTATTTTCATTGTTGCATGTCACATGGAACCAAGTACAAGGATTAACAAGGGTTGCATCCCAACTCTGTAGAACACTATTAGGATCAGCCAAATTTGTCTTCAGAGCATTCAAGGCATCACCTGTCTTACATAAAAGATGATATATCAGTGATCAGCTCAACACACATTAAAACCAACAATTTCGAAATATTAGCTACAACATAATACATCATTTGCCAATCCAATTTTTTTTCTCTCTCTTTATTTGGGGGATGGGGGCAGCCATTTTCAGGGTTTACTCAAGTTTGTGCTAAAATTGTCTCCTGCTAGAGCAAGACGAATCCATATATGTGTTTAATTTCTGCACAGTGGCCGCACAAAATTTTTACACCGTCAAGTACTAAAATCTAGCTATAGGAACAATTTAGGCTTAATATATCAATATCCCTTAAACTTGTCAGTAAATTTCAATTAAACAATCGAACTACTTATTTGAATTGATGAACACCTGTACACATGATAAAGCATTCCAATCGGATACTTCCCATTCAAATTATGGAAAGATATTTGCACATATTCTCAAGTATCCGTTACCTAGATAAGTTAACCACTAAAAATATGTCACCTCCTTTAGTTATACACATCAAGTAAAGGCTCAAGCATGTTCCAGTTTAGTCTGATGTGAATAATTAAAGTACATAATCTATGTGGTTAGCTTATCTACGTATGAGCACTTGAGAATACACATAAAATTTGAACTGGAAGTGTTTAATAGGAAGTTTTTATCATATGTTCAAGTACTCAATTGGAATAAGTTATAGTTCGACTATCTAACAAGTTCAAGGGGTTGTTGACGTATAAAGCTAACAATAACTAGTAACCTGCAAAAGCTGTTAGCAACCTGTTAAATAACTGATATAATCTAAGACTTTGATCAATAAACTGAAGTTGAAGTTTTGGGATCCCATAACCACCCAATTAAAGAAAGACTCAAAGGAAAACCCAAAAAGAAACAAACCTTCAGCGTTACCGGCGACGGGTGACAAATTGAAAAGCAGACCAATTAAGCAGAGAAATACCCAGATCGCCAACACCGACTGATCCATGATTCCCAGTCATCCACACCTTTCTACAACTAAAAACCAAGATTCTTCATTGAAACCACCAAGCTAAGAAAAAGAATCCTCCACCCAATGGGTACTCAACTTCAAAAGTCAAACCCAAAAAAAGGAGAAGACTGAAAGCCCTAATCCCCAAAAAGTGAAGTCAATGCAGAAATGAGAATGAAAGCAAAAGGGTCAGGGAAAAAAGGTATTTTTGTGGGTAGTTACAATTCTCTTTGACAATAGAGAATGGGAAATGGAAGAAGAGAGGAAAGAAAGTTCAAAGTTGGCACAAATTTGATAATGAAATTCAACGGAGGAATGGTGTAGGTAAAGCAGTCATTGAAGAAGAAGAGAGTTGGTCAAAGCTTCATCTGCCTTTCACTCTTGGTCTATTCTTTATTGGAAACATACAAAATTGCAGGTTGGATTATACAATTCTTGATATAATCATTTCGGAAATTACAAAAATGGATTTCAAGTTTTCACACACATCACCCTTTTTTTAACATCAAGTCACCTATTAAGTAAATACGCAAAGAAGTCAATCGGATTACACACAATAAGGAAATGCATAACGAAGTTAATGGAATTACATGCAATTATTATATGAAATTTAATAAACAAATACTCCAACTGTTTTAGTTTCTTTCTCCCTAATTACTTGTCCATTTTTTCTGTTATAGTTATCCCTAATTACTTGTTCATTTTAACAAATCAAGAAACAGTAATTTTCTTAACCTATTATACCTTCAATTACTTAAAGAAGGTAGAACTTCTTGGAAATCGTAAGTTTTTATTTCATCAACTTCATAATTAATAGGAATAGAATGATAAACTCACTATGTCAATAATTGTTTTTCTTAATAGGTGTGTCAATTCAATAATGAACAAGTAATTGGGGATAGAGAGAGTAATTTATTTGTCTGTTTTAAATTTGGCACACATTTTAAGAGTACAAAATGATTTTGAATCTTGTGGTCATAAACTAAAACTATGTAAATACATTAAAATGATCTTTAATTTTGTATTTTTATGGTCCTGCCCCAAACTAAAAAGGCGCAATTGGCTCTTAATGCCAAAACTCAGGTCCGACCTGACCCTGCTGAACCATTTGCTACTAACGCATGGTAGCCGCATGCAATCAAGAAAACAACAAGTATATCTCGGCTTAAAACTAAGCCCTTGGCTGGCAAGGCCCCTGTCAACATATCTATAAACGAAATAACTACTCCTAAAATTTCATATAAAGAAATAGCCAATTAGCACATAAGTCCTGATTAAGCCGTCGAGGACACCATGATCTCTATACCAAAACTAAAAGCAGGTATATATCAGGACAATAGATCAAACTGCTCACCGACTTCAACAAATCAACAAACTAGGCCATTATGACCATAACGTAGCTATACACCTCATTCACTAGTCTGCAAGCCTCTAAGAGTAGTAAAGATTGGTTGGGATAGGCCCCAGCCTACCTATAAAATTATATACAGCAAAAGCTAACAAACCTCAAAATTTTGGCAGCTCCAGAGTGAGTATGACTTCTGCCGGCTTTGGGCCGTTAACAACCTCTCCCGGACGAGCTTAACCTGCTCCACTATCTGTTATATTAAGTTTGGCCCAATCAACCCTGACTCACCTACCTCGACCCATCCAATAGGGGATATACATTTTCACCCATACAAAAGCCTCATAAAGTGTCATCCCGATGTTGGAATGATAACTATTATTGTATGCGAACTCAATAAGAGGTAAGTGGTCATCCCAACTTCCATTGAAGTCCAGCATGCATGTTCTTAGCATGTCCTCAACTGTTAAAATGGTGCGTTCAGCTTGGTCATCTGTTTGAGGGTGAAAGTTCGTACTAAGATAAACTTGTGTCCCTAATCCTTTCTAGAAAGACTTTCAGAAGTTAGCAGTACATTGTGCTCCTTTATCCGAGATAATAGATATTGGAACGTCGTGCGACCTAACAATCTCTCGAATTCAAAGACCTGAATAATCTTCAGCTGTGAAAATAGACTTGACTGGTAAGAAGTTGGTTGATTTTGTTAGTTATCTACAATTACCCAACGAGTCAAACTTACGACGCGATCGAGGTAACCCTGTAAAAAAATCCATATTATTGCTTCCAATTCCACTAGGGAATGACTATCTTTTGGACTAGCCCAACAGTATTTTGGTGCTCAACCTTCACTTGTTGGAAGTTAAAAAACTATGCCACAAACTCAACAATGTCCTTTTTCATCCCGTGATACCAATATATCTCCTAAATATCATGGTACATCTTCGTCGAACTAGGGTGGATAAATAATGATGATTTTACACATTGGACTCATTTAGGGCTTTATTTTGATAGAAATAGAGTCGTCAAATACTTATTTTGTCACAATATCTGATGAAAACTCTTAAGTTTCAGGTATTTGAAGTTTTAGTGGAAGCATGAACACTTACGTGCAAAAAGAAATAAAAAGAATGTAAATGCTGAAGCCTTACTTTTGCCAATCAGACTTGGTGAATGGTCGAAGCGAAGCACTCTGCCCTTTGTACCAGTACGTGAAGCCTTGAAGGAAGTGGATCAAAAGACGATGAAAGGAGCATTCGGTGTGTCGCCGATCAGTTCCACAGAGCATAGATATACCACCCAATGATCTAAAACACAAACATGTTGAAGGCAAAACATAAAAGGTGATGAACCAGAAGATGGGCGACTTGCTGAGTCATTCGGTGATAACGACTAACTTTGCCGAATGGTCCAACACAACACTTAATATGAAAAATATAAATATTAGTTGTAGGTGTTATTTTTAGGGAGTCCGAACATTATTATTAATTTTCACTTTTTAGAACTTTATTTTTGTATTTTCTCTCAAGTTTGGAGAGGATTTTGTGGGAGACTTGAAGAAAGAAGGGTTTCATCTTCCCCAAGTCGGAAGTGGGTCTTATCTATTCTTCTTCCTTTGCTCATATGAAGGTTGAATGTCTTATACCATATGATTTCATTATCATTTTAGGTATAATTTGTTATTGCTTGATGTGTGGCTAAAAACCCCCATTCTTGGGGTGTGATTTAGCAAATATAAGTTGATATTATTGTTGGGTTTTGCTTGATGATAGGTTTGATATATTTTAATGTTGATTTCACCTAGTGGTTGTGGTTTAACTTAATGGGTTTGTAGTTGAAAATACAAACTCACCCATGTGTTTTCGGCTTGCCCGAGAGGGAGGTCGCGAAATCAAAACCGCTAGACTGATGGTCTAAGGAGTGGGTCGACATGAGGTTTAGCCCGGAGGGTGAGCCCTAGTCCCATATCCTAACACTTAATTCGAGAGAATGAGTGGGAGTAAGGCATAGGCTGAACTTTATGCGACAAATGGGTGTCCAAGAGGAATGTATTTGAAATGGTGTAAGTTTCCGGAGAGGAAACTTTTTTCCATCTAAAGCTTAGCCTTGTCACCATTATCTTGCAAATTTCCTATTGGTGTCACCCCTTTGATTTACAATGTTTTTATTCGTTAATCTCTTTAGCTACATCTAATTAGAATGAAATTCTAATTTAACTACATTTTCTTGAAACCCCTTCCTTGGGACACAACCCCAACCATTGGTTGGTTACTAAACTATCAACTATCATAGACACTCATATCGTAGGTCAGTGTCGTTGGTCACGATAAACATCAAAATAATGTCGGTTCTGGGGAATGATGTTACATGATAGTGTAGTTCAATATAGTTTTTATTCTTATTAGTGGTACTCTAATTAATTAATTTTCATTTTTTATGTGTTTGTGTAGTAAGAAGGAACAATAAGTGTAAATGGCAGTAATGGTAGCTAGGTGGGACACGAAGATAACATCGTTAACCTCAACAATGTCCAAGGGCCAAATTTCAATGACCCCTATCTCATGTGAGGTGTTGGATCCATCCCTTACCCTCCCGAGGGGAATGCGATGTTTAATCTAACGAGCACTATCTTGTAGCTCTTGCAACTAAAAGGACTCTTCAGCAGATTGGCTCATGAGAATCCCCATAAGCATCTTAGAAACTTTGTAGATGTTTGTGGGTCATTCTTTTTCGAAAACATCTCTCAAGAGTCAAGTCAGACTGCAAATTTTCTTATTTTCCTTGATGGGGGAAGCTTGCAAGTGGTTAGGTTACCACAAAATTCAATCACTCCATGGGAAGAGTTAGTTACCACATTCAATGTGCGACTTTTCCCTCCCTCGAAGATGATGACTATTTGGGATAGCATTCAAAACTTTAAGCGCCTTCATGAAGAGCCTTTACACGAAAGTTGGCTATGGTTCAAAGTTGGTGGTACAATGCCCAACCCATGGTTTGCGTGATAATGTGCTCCTTCACTACTTTTACCAGAACTTGGATTGGTAAACAAAGGTGTCGCTGACCAACTCTCACTCGAAGGCCTAATGCATCAACCATACGATATAGCAATTTAACTTCTTGATGGCATGACAACCATAAAGATAGCGTGGTACACACACGAGGACGAGATCTCTCTTATCACATTTCAACTATAAAAGAACAGATTCAAAAGGACAATGAGAGAAATCAAAATATGGCCAAGATTATGACATAAATTGATATTCTATCAAAGAACGTCATGGGGGCTAGTTCCCGTAGGGTCAATGTTGTGGGGGTTGGGAGCACTAGCCTTGAGGAAATGAAGTTTGAAGCTTTGTATAATGAGGAGGTGAAATTTTTATCCAACCAAGGCGGTGCCTATCGGTCAAACTACCTTAGACAAGGTGGAATCAAGATTGGGGTAGAGATGAAGGATGGAAAAATAGAGACTGTACGTGAATGGAGAGACCGTAATCCGAATTGGAAAGATGGGGAGAAGGATCGATATGTTCCTCCTATGAGCGCCAGAAGCATGAGGATTTGAAAGGTGAAAGGTTTGAGGACATGCTCTCACGTATCCTCAAAAAAGTTGAAGGGTCGGACAAGATGCTGAAAGACATGAAAGAAGATGTATCCA